CCCCCCCCCTCCCCTCCCATTCCCCCTTCGACCCCCCCCCCCCACCCACCCCCTCTCGCCCATCGCCGTGGCCCCCGCATTGTCGATCCACCCCCTTTCCCATTGAATCAGCACCCGCCCCTCACACCCGCATCGCCGCCTCCCCCCGACCCCCTCACCCCGACCCTCTCCCCTACCACCACCGCCAACGTCGCCCCGCCCTCCACCAACCCCACCTCCCCGTTCCACCCCCCCCGTCCGCCCTCCCTTATCTCGCCCCACCCCCTCCCCCCCGCCCCACCCCGCTCACCACCTCCCCGCCGCCGTTCTCCTTCTCAACCGCCAGCCGCCCCCTCTTCCATCGCGCCCTTCTCATGCTGCCCCCGTCTCTGGAATCATTTCGCGGGAGCGCGCGTCGCGTCCGTTCCCCTGGCGTGCCTGCCAGCGTGGCCAGAGGGGTTCGGCGTCGCCCGCGGACTCGAACCCCCCCCCGTTCCCCCTCACCCCCTTTCCCATCCCCCTCCCACCACCACCGCCACGCACGCGCACCCGCCCACTCACCCACCCACCCGCCCACCCACCCACCCACCCACCCACCGCCCATCCACCCACCCACCCGCCCACCCACCCACCAACCCACCCCCCGCCCACCCCCCCCACCCCCCCACCCCCACCCCCCCCCACCCCCCCCACCCCCCGCCAACCCACCCCAACACGACCACACACACAAACACACACGCACACACGCACACACACACACACACACACACGCACACACACACACACCCACCACATCACACAACGGCGGAGGGGGAAGCCGCACCCACACTGCAGCACACACCCACACGCACACGACACGACAATCACACACACACACGCACACGCACTCGCACACACACACCCACACCCACACACACACACGCAGGCACGCCCGCACGTACACGCACACACACGCACACACACGCACACACACGCACACACACACACACACCACACGCACAGACGCACGCGCGAACGCCCACCCACACACACCCACACACTTCTTACACTTACACACGCACACACACACATGCACACCCACACACACAACCACACACGCACACACACACACACGTACCACCATTATTCAAACCACCACCACCACCACCACGATCATCACACACCCACCAACACACACACACGCGCACAACCACACACACGCAAGCACGCGCACACGCACACGCACACACACACACCACCACCACGACCACTTCCGCCATCATGAACCCCCCCCCGCCCCCCCCTCCCCGCACCGCCACCGGCACGCGCGCGTGCACATGCGCACCACCCGCCCAACCGCCCGCAAATCGTCCACTGCCAAATGGGCGCTCCCGCACCTGGCAGACGATGCGGCCTTCTGGGGTGCGCGCTAACTGTGGGCGCCCATTTGGCAGTGGGCGGCTTGCGGGCGGTTGGGGCGGTGGTGCGCATGTGCATGCGTGCGTGGTGGTGTTGGGGGGGTGGGGGGGGGAGGGGGGGGGGGCGGGGGAGGGTGGTGGTGGTGTGGATGATGGTGGTGGTAGTGGTGGTGTGCGTGTGTTTGTGGGTGCATGTGGGTGTGTGTGTGCATGTGTGTATGTGTGGATGAGTGTGGTGGTGGTGTGCGTTCGTGGGCGCGTGTGTGTGTGTGTTCGATTGTGGTAGTGTGCATGTGTGTGTATGTTTGTGTTTGGGGGTGGTTGTGTTTGTGTGTGTGGTTGCGTTTGGTTGGTTGGTTGGTGTGTGTGTGTGCGTGCGTGCGTGTGTGTGTGTGTGTGCGTGTGCGTGCGGGCGCGCGTTTGCGTGTTTGCGTGCGCGCGTGCGCGCCTGTGCGCGTGCGTGCGCTTGCGGGCCCTGCGGGGCCCCATGGTGGACCCAATAAGGGGCCCTGTGGTGGGCCCACAAAAAGGCCCAGTGGGGCGCTACAGGATGAAGGCACCACGAATGCCCCATGGGAAAGCATAGCATGGGTTCGAACGTGATCTGCCCTCTATCCCCGACCGTTCGTCAACGCGAACTGGTATTGCGTGGCCCGAGATCGCAGGGCAGCAGGGCCTCAGGGCCCCAAGGCATCGCTGGACCTCGGCCAGCACGACATCGCGGGGGAGGTGGCCCCTGGGTCCGTGGGTCCCGCGTTTGTTGGAGGGGGTCCCTGGGTCACGCGTTAGCGCGGAACTGGCCGTTCGTTTACCCTCCCCCCCCATTGCGCTTCCCGTAGGCAGTTGTGCTCAAACGGTTCGGTTCCAGGTGAGTTCGATTTCAGACATCTGCGCGCGAGGTCTCATTCCAGCGATGTCGGTCCACAGCGTTCATTCAGACGACGGCAGCTGCTCCGAGGGGAGCCCAATGACGGGCAACTCAGGTTTCGGCCCCAAGCGTCGCCGCTCGCTCTCAGAGCGTCGGACGGCACCTCCGCAGGAAGCGTGGAGAGCAGCGTATGATGACCCGAATGACAAGCAGGAGTACGCGGATACGGGGCCGACAGCCAGCTCGGGGGCCCCAGAGCCGCAGGAAGCAGCTGAGGCAGAGGGCTCAGCGAGCGAAGCGGCGCCTGCGGAGCTCCCGATGCGCGCGGCGCCATCGCCGGCGTCTGGTTTACCTGCCTTGCCACGGATCGATTGGTCGGATTTCACGGAGGAGAGGTACATGAAGAGCATCGTGCACCAGTACGCCGACATCAGCAGCATGCCTCCGCATGTCCTGAGCGTCTTCCAGCGCCTCCGCCCGTGCGAGTTCGTGTCCGACGGCCAACGCACTGTCTACGTCAAGAGGGCGAGGTACATTGTGCGGTACACGGTGGAGGGGGATGTTCGCCACAGCTCTGAGTAGTTGGATAGTTGGATGCCTTCGTGCGTGGTGCTGCGCCAGAGTGTGCCGTAGCATGAGACAGTGGGCGTATGTTAGCGCCAGTGCCAGTGCAGACCCCTCAGAGAAATGATTAAATTGACAGTGCAATTGAGTTGACATAGCACGTTCTGTTTCTAAAAATGATTGGATCGACTTATTGCGCGCTGTAGTGGGCTGTGCCGAATCTGCAAGGCCACGAGCCGTAGCTAGCGAGAATATGTGGCCAATGTGTTGCGGTCAATCTCAGAGGGTACGTTTTCTCCGAGCCCACCTGGGGCAGAAAAAGAGATACCCGCAGCAGGGCCTTCCCAGCAGGTGCCGCTGGGAGGAGGGGTCGAGAGGTCCGAGGCATCGGCCACTGGCCAGCCTGAGGTGTCAAGGCTCGAAGATGGCCCTGACTCGACGCCCGCCCGCGGTGCGGGAAGGAGAAGGACGAGGAGGGGGAGGGGGAGGAGGGCGAGGAGGAGGAGGACAAGGAGGAGGATGAGGAGGGCGTTCACTGCGCATGGCTGTTCTCGGGCTCCATGCCCAGTAAGTGTTACACGCAGTGAATAATAGAATTGTTGACGCTTCGCGAATCCCCACCAGCCCATCCAGAAACGATGCCCAGAGGAATCGCCTCGATCAGGGAAGTGGGCAGCGCGCCGAGGAAGCCATTATGAGACATCTTGGGGTATCTTGAGTCATCGTGGAGGTCATGTTGGGCTCTCCAGGCGCTCATCGAGCCATCTTAATCAGTGCCCCCCCCCAAAGAGGCCACCGCGTGGCTAACGGCGAACACCTTCGTAAACTCAATGGTTTGGCATTCTCGCCGAGGCCTCTTGGAGCATCGTGGGTGCTTCTGGGTGATCTCTTGGGGCCTCCTGGGGGTCTCTTGGGCGCCTCCTGGGGGCTTCTTGGGGGTCCCGTGGGGACATCTTGGGGCCATCTTGGGACCTCTCGGGGCCTCCTGGGCGCTTCTTGGGGCCATCTTGGAGGAGATCGATCACGCGAGAGGGGAGCTTGGATTAGGGTCCCCCCCTCAGGAGGCCAACATGAGGACACAATCACAGTAAAACCAATGAGTGTGGCTTCCTCGCCGAGGCCGTCTAGGACGCCCTGGCACCTCGCGACCCCCCCCCCCGTCCAGGCCCAGGGGGGGTAGGGGGAGGGGTAACCCCCTACCCGAAGGGGAAGAATCAGGGGTGGAAGAGGGAACTCTCTAAACCACCGACGCCCAGAGGGCTGGTGGGATTATTCTTGACGCTTCGCGTGTCCCCACCAGCCCATCCAGGAACGACGCCTAGGCGCGTCGAGGTGAGCAGGGAAGTGCGGGAGGCCCTCTTGGGCCCCCTGATGGGCCCATAAGATGGTTCCAAGAGGGCCCTAAGAGGGCCCCAAGAGGGGCCCAAACGGGTCCCGAGAAACCGCTGGTAGGTCTCATCGAACAGCGCATCTGGATGAGACCTCCCAGTGGTCTCTGGGGCGCGTCTTGGAGCCCTCCTTGGGGCCATCTGGGGGCCCTCTGGTGCCCCTGGTTGGCCCATGAGCTGGCTCCAAGAGGGCCCTAAGAGGGCCCCAAGAGGGCCCCGAGAGGGCCCCAAGAGGGTGTCAAGAGGGCTCCCTGGGGTTGCCACGCAGGGCCCCTTCCTGTGACAACCCCTGCTGGCGGCCTTTGAAGACCCCAAGAGGACCCCAGGATGGGGCCCAAAGGGGCCATGCAAGGGCCCCAAGAGGGCCCCAGAGCGCCCAAGAGGGCCCCAAGAGCCAAGAGGGCCCCCTGGGTTTGTTACGCAGGGCGCATTCCTGTGACAACCCCTTGCTGTCTTAAGAAGACCCCAAAAGGACTCCAGGAGGGCCCAAGAGACAAGAGGTCCCCAAGAGGGCTCAAGAGGGCCCAAGAGGGCCCCGAGAGGGCCCCAAGATGGCTTCAAGAGGGCTCCCTGGGGTTGTCACGCAGGGCCCCTTCCTGTGACAACCCCTTGTGGTCTTTAAAAGACCCCAGAAGCACCCCAGGAGGGCCCCAAGAGGGCTTTAATAAGAGGGTATCCGTCGTAGTTTTTGGCTCAGGCATTAGATGACGATCTTGAGTGGACCCGCCTGAGCCAGCCCCTGTAGGCTTGGTGCTGTCACACTGTCCAGCGATCAGCGCTCCGAGCTCCGAGCGCGCCGCCAGGATGGGCAGGAAGCGTGCTGCCAGCGCGGCCGCCCCAGCCGCTGGCGGCCCCTCTGGGGACGCCGGCGGCCGCGGAGCGCGCGGCGGCGCTCGCGGTCGGGGCAGCGGGCGTGGCAAGCGCGCCAAGACGGCATCAGCGAGCGAGAGGGAGGCGACCTTGGTGGGGCCGCTGGTGATCAGGAAGAGGACTACGGACACCAGTGGCGGAGGAGTTTGCGGGCGCTGCGGGGCCACTGAGAGCAGTGACAACCCCTTCCCCGACGTGAAGACGCCCAACGAGCAGATCCAGAAGTTCGCCCACGCGTGCTCCTACCACTTCTGCGGCTACGTGAAGGGCAAGTTCTGGATGGACTTCAACTGGTCTTCGATGTGTGCCACGTGCGAGCAGGACGAGGAGCTTGCCGAGAGCTTCGAGGCGGCCTGCGAGACGATCGACGGCAGTCGCGAGGCCTCCTCCCTGCCGCAGGCCGTATCGACGGACCACCAGACAGGCATCATGGTCTTTTCAGACTGCATCTTGATCACGGAGAAGCAGTACCAGGCCGACATCGCCCCGACAGGGGCTTCCGCCTTGCTGCCGTCTCAGGCTGGCGAGCGTGAGACGACGCTCCAGAACGAGATGAAGGGCGAGTCCGCCACAGGAATCTTCGCGAGGGACCCGCAGTCGCCCTACCTCAAGGTGCGCAGGTTCAGCACGGTGATGGGCAGCCGCGTCGAGAAGGCGCTGAGCGCAGAGGACTGCTGCAAGGGCGGCGCAGGCATCGCTTGCGAGGACGTGATCATCCGGCTGATGCGGGAGGGGCTGCCCGTCTCATTGAGGGGGCGCGTCGACATCCCCACGGTGTCCGAGCTCAAGCTTCGAGCCGTCGGCGCAGCCAGGGCGCTCGGGCTGGTCGGGTCCGATGGGCCTCACGGGCTCTCCCAGGTGGCAGGCGGGGGCCCGCTCGCGATCGCTGACGCAATCGTTGACGGCACCGTCGGCGACTCAGGGCTTGCTGCACAAGGGCCACGCGGCGGCCAGGCGACTGGCAGTGGCGGGGCCGTCGTTGCCCAGCAGCCCGAGTCCGAGGCGTGCGGGCATGTTCCTGGCGGACTCGACGGAGATGGTGCAAGCGTTCCGAGGCTCGATGTGACTGCTGAGCCGTCGGTCGCGGGCAATCGCAGCGACCGTCGAGGAAGCGCAAGCGCCGCGGCGTGCCAGACGCCACCGTCCGCCAAGGGGAAGACCCCGCCAGCCGATGCGAAGGAGAGGGATCGGTACCAGGAGATCGTCGCCAGCATCAACATGGGCCTCCTCTTGACGACGGGCGCCAACCACAGCATCGGCGATCGCATTTACGCCTTGAAGCGCTTCAAGCCGAAGAGCGAGCTCATCGAGAGCCTCCAGCGGACGGCACTCGCCGACATCGAGACCTGCACCTCTCTCGGTGGCAACGCGCTGGACGTCATGTCGCTGGACACGCGGGTCCGCTTGCTCAAGAAGATCAGGCGCGTGAAGCTCGACGGCGCCGAGTCGTGGATGATCAACTTGTGCGCGGTGGCGACCAGGGAGGCCAACGATCCGAGCATCAAGGTTGACATCGCACTGCCGTGGAAGTCTTATACGGTGGGCGGCTCCCAAGCTGATGCCAACATCTGCCCCCTTAGTGTCGTTTAAGTCGTTCCCCATCCTGCCGTGCCCCCAGACTGCTCACTCCCCCGACGTACCTCCTCCATTCTCACCTCCGACCTCCTTCCACCCCCCACTTCGATGATGCTGGCGTCGGCGAGGGAGGCCCCGAGGTTGGAGACTTCCAGCCGCTGGCGCCGTCGATGGCAGAAGTCGGCATCGCAGCTGACCGCATCATCGACGAGGGCAGGGATTTCTTCATCAGCAACGTGGTCTTGCCTTTGACTCGGGCGGACGTAGTCGACACGGAGTACATGAGTGCCTTGATCAGTGCCCTCCTCGCGCGCGCCGGCGACCAGGCGATCCGCGAGGAGGCTGGCCCGTGCAAGAACCTTGCCTACGAGATCTTCGTGTTCACCGAGGCCGTTCGCGTGTTGCTCGACTCATCACCCACGGCGCTGCTGGAGTGCACGTGCAGGTCTGATGTGCGCAAGCTCCTGCGAGAGGAGTTCGGGGCGACGTGGCGCACCGTCGTGGCCACCTTCGGTGCTGAGTGGCAGGAGGTGCTGGCTGAGTACAATCGCGCCTACTTCTCCGACGTGAAGTACGGGGAAAAGGTCAAGCACGTCATGGATATCGTATCGCAGCCCACTCCCATTAGCGATGCATTCAGGATGTCATCGGCGATCTGCTGGAATGGGGCGCATTCCTCCGCAAGGGCGCCGCTTCTGGCATGCTGGACTCGTTCCACGAGCAGGTGGTCGGGTGGATTGGCGTCCAGACCGCCCAGCTGGAACAGGGAGGACACACACCGACCATGGACTTCTCGACGAGCCTGAACTTGAAGCTCCTCGAACTCATCTCCGGGATGCCGAAGATCCGCGGCGTGGACGAGGTCACCATTCAGAAGTTCAACGAGCTGCAGAGCAACGTGGAGGCGATGGGGTCTAAGTTCCACATCCACGGCCAGGCTACCAAGCTTCGCGATGCGTGCTCACAGTTCGACCCTTCTGACGCGAACTCCGTGAAGACCATCACTGGCGCGCTGAACTCCACTATGGGCGAATTGTTCGGTTCACAAGCTTGCGTGGCCGCGATGGGTTCTTGCGCCCAGGTCTGCTTGTCGCACGCTGCAGCTGTGGGTGCCGACTCAGTCAAGAGGTGCGATTTCGCGTCGAACTTAGCCGGCTATGCCGAGAAGATAAAGACCATCGCGATGATTGCCACCGAAGTCTTGAACCGCATCCTCGATCCCAGCGCTGAGGCCAAGCATATGATGACTACGTGCAAGTGCTTGCGCATCCTGCTGACCCTGATGGTTCAGGTCGGGGAGCTTGTCCAGGTCGAGCCGTTCTCCGAGGTTCCCGCGGATGCGTTCGAGAAGCATATTTCGGCATGGGTGTGCGAAGCATTGCCTCGCACTGTCTTTGGGGTGGGTGCTGGGGAGGGCCAGGTTCTTGGGGCTGGATGCGAGATGTGTGGTTTAGTTTTGACGTCGTCCTGGTGCTCGGGGGTTCTTGGCCCCCGAGCTTTGGATGGGCAGGCGCCAGTGCCAGGGGGAGGGAGGGTGGCAGATGCTGGCAATGCTTCCCCCGCCTCGAAGGGGTAGCAGTTGGTAAAATCAGGACTGGCTGCCTTTTGGGAGATTGGTGCAAAGGCAGAGGTGAACGATGATGTCATCGAGGCGTCGGCCGATGACAGCCCAGCTCAACCAGGCAATCCGACAGCCCCACGCGGCTCGAACCTCGAGGACTACAAGCCTGCCCCCGCCATGCTGGAGTTCGCGGGTTTGGCGAAGTCCGTTGTCCAGAAGGCCCGCGTCGTGATCAAGAAGTTCTCGACGGCATGCTGGGATGCGTCCCACGAGGCAGGCTTGGACATCTTGGCGGCGCTGGCCGACTGCAAGGGGGGGGTGTTCAACAGTGGCGGCGAGCACTGGTCGAAGGGCGCGGAGCTTGAGACCTGGGAGCAGTTGTCCGACCACGCGAAGCGCACGCCCTTCAAGCAGAAGGGGATCACGGTCACGGTGCGCAATCGCGAAAAGGAGTTGCACAACCACATGGTCTCGTTGAAGGAGATCGCTGCTGATCACGGTGCCAAGGATCAGTGCTCAGAGTTCGAGAAGAAGGCGAATGCCGTCATCGGCATCGCTTACGCTACCATGTTCGAGGCGCGGCTGCTGCAAGCGATGAGGGGGGCCAAGAAGGCGGCCGACATCAAGGAGACGCTCTTCGCGTTCAGGGATGAGCTGCACGACGCGAAGCTGTTCAGCGAGAAGAACGCGCGCCCGATGGTCACCATGAAGTTCGAAGCAATGCAGGTGGAGGCCAACAACGAGCAGCACTGAACGGGCGATGCGACGCTCGCAGGTGGATGCTCGCAGGTGGACGGGCTCGAGGAGGCCCGCCACCTCTGGGCCCCCAGCCAGGAGGAGGATGAGGAGGAGGACGAGGGCGGGGGGAGGGGATGATGAGGGGGAGGAGCAGCAGCAGGGGGGAGGAGGGGGCGGAGGAGGGGAGAGGATAAAGGCTGGAGAGGAGGAGGGGGGAGGAGGAGGAGGAGGGGGTAGGAGGAGGGAGGAGGAGGGAGGAGGAGGAGGGGGGGAAGGGAGGGAGGAGGGAGGGAGGGGGAGGGAGAAGGAGGGAGCGCTGCTTGAGCAACGTTGGCGGTGCCCTTTCTTCGAGCGGCACCGTGTGAGAGGAGGTCCGCCGCTCGCGCGATCGGAGAGGAAGTCGGCATCGCCCTCATCATCCACCTCCCCCTCCGCCCTCCCTTCCCCCACTCTTCACTATCCCTGTCCATCCTCCACTTCGTCCGCCTCGGCGTTCTTCTCGTAACCACCCCGCTTCCCCCACCGCCGTCCGTCTCATCATCCCCATCCCCCCGCCTCCAGCATCATCATCATCGCATGTGTTTCGCCACTGCTACTGGCTCAAACTTAACGTTGCATATCGCAACGAGGTCAACCACGTCACAAGCAACAATGCCAGCCCTGAGTTCTAATCTGACCGTGAGCTTGGCAACGGTCGTAGGTCTGACTCGCATTCAAGTTGCGATCCTGGCCGCAACCGCTGTCTCACCAGGCACCTTTCACCAAGTGTGAACCTGCACCCCAGTCGACTGCCGACCAATTGCTCTAGCTATGATGTTGGCCCTGGCCCAACTCTGGGCAGCAGCGCCGCGCAATTCGGCCAGTCGCGACAGCGATGCCTGACCATGGCCCGCCAGCAACACCAGATCCAGATTGGCAACCGTCGCGCACAATCGGCCACGCACCCCGCATGTAGCACGAATCGCCAGCAATCGCGTGGGCCGCAACGCCATTTAAACCAGCCTACCCCGAGTCGCCGCGCCCTCCCACCACTAACGCATCGGGCCAGGCGGGCGTGGCCGAATGTCGGCGCTGTGCGGCGCAGAGCCAGCGCCGCCCCCGCGCCGCTGCCGAGACAATGTCTCGCGCGCGCGTCCACGCGCGAGGCAGTCGTCGTGGGAGCGGCGTTGCTCGAGAGGGGCGGCATTGGGTTCGAGGGGGAACGCCGTCGCCCTCAACGGCTGCGTTGCCATGGGCGCGACGTGGCAACAATGCGCGCATTTCTCCATGGGCTGGACCGTGACCGATGGTGCAGCGGCATTCAGCAAGCACTTGGTTTGTTGCGGTGCGCCCTTGCGTGGTTTGGTTGTGCTCGTAAATCGAGCGCTGACGATAACTGTTGCCCAACCATGTTTCCCCGCGCCTGCGCCCGCGCCATGTCTCATCGGCAACCCACACAGCCTAGAGCCCGTTCGCCACTTGTCCTTGAACATGGGCTCCGCGTGCGCCGCCGCGGCCCGAGTTCGATATCCAAGCCGCGTCTAGGTTTTGGCCATTGCCCTACCATCGCCGTGACGGCGAACGTTGTCCAAACCCGAACACCAATTTAGATGCCACGTTCGTTGCGCTCGAGGCAGTGGGCCATCATCAGCCAGGACAGAACCCCGCTTGCCAGCGCCACGCAAAACCACTGTCATTAATTCCAGGGTTTGCACCCCAGTCAAGACATGGCGCTGGGCCCCGCAAAATGGGAAGGCGTCCGATGTAAGTGGCATTTGGTTTCTTTCACATCGCCCATGGCCTTCCGTTCGTCAGCGGGCTGCTCTTCACGCGTGGCATGCCAGCCCAGCGCTAGTGAGGGCGCGTGGAATGCATGGCTTCGTTGGCTGATTCGAACTCAAGGGGCGATTTCGCCCGCGGCCGCCAACGTTCTCAAAGCGCATAGCGGCGCGGATAAAACGCAATCGCGCCAAGAAAACGCATAAATATGCGCGGGGCAACGTGCGTGAAAAAAACTCATGCGTGCCAGCCGCAGCCGCATGCAACTTCACACATCGATCAAATAATTTCGTCTGCGAAAATTGTAAAACGTGGCCCATCAAAGATTTCTCAATGTGAACAACAAGTAAAACACGGCCACCAAAAATCAACAACGCCACAACCCATCAAAACCGATCTCCCAGAGACCCCACAGGAAGGCCCGAAAGAAAGACCCAATCCGAGGTGGACGCTGAGGATAACCCCTGCGAGGCGGTGAGAGTGGGGCTCATGATCCAAGGCAGGATGCGCCCACTAGCGCCTGAAGGCTGCCGCGACGCCGCGCGCGGTGAGCCGACCGTGCTGTTGGTGGAGGACGGCAGAGCTTCGGACCTCAAACCCCCTAGTGAAGGGAATGCAACAGCTTGACTATGTGAACATCACAAGCAGATCTACAAGGTCTTACGCTATTGCGAGAAGTGCTCCCAGGTGACGTGCTTCCGCGAGGCGGTGGGCATGGCCTCAGGGGTTCCACTCTGCCTGCAGCACCTCGAGATCGGCGGCGACGCCGCCAAGGCGATCAACGACGTCCCCACAGGCGGCGAGTTCTTCGCGGGGTTGCGGCGTCGAGCCCGGAGGGGCCCTGCCCCGCGGAGCCGCACACCTGAGCGCGTCAGTGCCGCCCCAGTCCGGAGCCGCACCCCAGAGCGCCCCACCCCGGCGGCCTCTGCTCCGAAGGCGCCCACCAGCCCAGGCGATCCCGTTCCCGCACCTGCGGGGCCACCGAGCGTGCGGTTCGAGGCGCCGCCGGTCCGGAGTTCCCTTAAGCCGCCTACGCCGCCGCCCATGCCGCTCGGGAAGCATTTCATCGTCCGGGCGAGGGCGCAGTGGCCGGAAGGGGCGCAGTGGATGATCTTCAGGGGAAAGGCAGCCAACGCCGCCGCGGCCAGCGCGGTCGCCGAGTACCTTGACGGCGCGATGGCCCTCGAGGTGGAGGATCCGACAGGCACCGTCATCCTCTTCCTGGTGAAGCCCGACGGCGTCATCCGTGCGCCTGCCCCGGGGCCCGCAGGGCGCCTGCCCGCAGGGTTCATCGAGGAGATGCTCCACCACGCGCCCCTGGGTTGCGAGGAGCTTGGCATCAGCGTCTCAGCGACTAACGTACCCGAGAAGGTCTGGCACAAGTTGGCTGCGTGGCACGGGCCCCCCGTGGGCGGCCGCGCTGGGCCGCTCAGCGAGGCCCGCTGGCAGCTGCTCCGCGAGAAGGTGGCCAGCTTAGTCCGGTGGCACCCTGAGGGAGGTGTGGCACCCAGCCCGGGCTTCGAGGCGAGGGCCACTGAGGCCGACGCCAAGTTGCGCGCCGTCACTGGCAACGGCTAGACCGCAGCAGCTCGCCCAAGCCGCCAGCTGGGGCTGCCCGGCGCAGCTCGCGCTCCCCGTCAGCCGAGGGCGGGCGCGCAGCTAGCTCCGAAGCACCTGCCTCGGGGGAAAGCCAGCAGGAGGATGACGGCGGGGACATGATGGCGTGCTACCTGGAAGAGAAGGCCCGAGGGTCGGGCGACGCAGCGGCGGTGCAGAGTGTGGCCGCCGGCTTCGGTGAGGAAGCTCATCAGGTGCTCACCAACCTCATTCGTTACGCCCAGCACCTCAGGCAGCAGACAACCGGGCCTGAGGAGCTCGCACGGCTCGATGGGCACATCGGCAGCTGGGAGGAACTGCAGCAGGTACCATCGCGGCCTCAGACCCCGGAGGCGGCGCCGAGCAGCCTGCAGGGTCTGCTCAAGCTCCCGCCCGAGCGCCACCGCTCGCAAGGGCCGCCGCCCACCCAGGCCGAGAGCGCGCCCTCGGTCGAGATGAGGCCGCCCCGCCAGCCGGCAGCGCCCGCACCCGCGCTCACACTCGGGCTGCGGGACGCCGGCCCCCTGCCGACCACGGCTGGGCTCGCCCCTGTCGCTCGCCCACAAGCTCCAAACATTGGGGCTTTATTCCGCTACGACCATCACGTCAGCGACTTGGGATTACCCGCAGGTCTGACAGCAGCGCCGGCTCGCTACGCCGCGGGAGCCCCAGAGGAAGGCGGCGGAGGTGACCCGTTCGGCTTCATGCAGCCCGGAGCGCCCTTGGATGCGAACACCGCGCGGATGCTGTACGCCCTGGAGGGCGTCGCTAGCGCGCGCCAAGGCGACAAGGCGGCCCAGCGCGGGACGGTGGTGGCGTTGGGAAGGGCGGAGGAGTTGGACGTCTACTTGGCGCGCGGGTGCGTTCAGCTGACGGTGGAGGTCTGCGACGAGGTCCTTGGGCGCGAGCTGTTCTATGCCCTGCGCCGGACCTGCGAGCAGAACAAGGCCCTGATGCTAGCGGTCGAAGCGCCCACGACGGTGTCCAACAGGATCGCGATGGCCTGCGCCTCGCTCTGCTTCGGCGGCAGCAGCCTGGACAACCTGGCCGCGTGGGCGGCCTCGGCGGCGGACATCCCGACATGCAAGACGGTCGCGTTCGACAAGTACAGCGCGCCGCACGACACCAAGCTGGAGCCCAGGCCCAGGGCGCCGGTGGTCTTTGACCAGCGGAAGCGGCGGGCACAGAACATGACCAAGTTCTTCGGGCTCGTCTTCGGACGGGAGCACGTCAAGGAGCGCCTGGACTGCCTGGAAACCCTCGCGCGGGAGTGCGAAAAGGACGACCACGCCTTCCCGCCCAAGTTCGTCTACGAGCTCTGGGAGGAGCTGTGGTCGACCTGGTGCGAACGCCTCCGGGAGAAGAAGCGGGGCCTGTTGCGGGTGCTGCAGACGGACAACCCACGGAAGGAGGACCTCAAGATGGTGGCCTTCGCCCCCACTGCGGATGGCCGTCCAGCGTTCGTCTTCCCCAATGTCTTCGACCTAGAGTCCCCCGCGGGCTACTACCAGGAGGTCGTTCGCCCTCGCCAGCAGCGCTACCTTCAAACCGTCCTCAACGACTCGATGCACGGGGCGCGCGGCGTCCCGGGCAAAGCGGGAGAGGTCGGAGGGGGGGCTGACGAACAGGGTGTT